AGGCTCCCGGCCAGCATGGGCTCGCCACCGAGTGCCTGGCTGGCACGGTGAGCACGGGCAGCACTGCTCTGCCGCCGCTGCCTCCTCTCCCCTCCACAAAATGATCCAAGGGTGGAACCCCTCTGCAATGGGGACGGGCTGGGAGAGTTGGGGTGGTTCAGCCTGGAGAAGAGAAGGCTCTGGGGAGACCTGACTGCGGCCTTGCAGGGCTTAAAGGGGCTGGGGAGAAAGGGGGGGACAGACTTTTTAGCAGGGCCTGTAGCAACAGGACAAAGGCTGATGGTTTTAAACTAAAAGAGGGGAGATTCAGGCTGGATATAAGGAAGAGATTTTTTTTACGTCAAGGGTGGTAAGGCACTGGCACGGGTTGCCCAGAGAGGTGGGAGATGCCCCATCCCTGGGAACATCCAAGGTCAGGCTGGACGGGGCTCTGAGCAACCTGGTCTGGGTGAAGATGTCCCTGCTCCCTGCAGGGGGTTGGACTGGGTGGCCTCTAAAGGTCCCTGCCAACCCAAACTGGTTCTATGTTCCTGTTCCCATTGGTGTCTGGATCCCACATTCCGAGAGGGAAGAGAACATCCGGGGACAACCCCCCACCCATCCCCCATCATGGGGAGACACCACGGCCACACAGCCCCTTGGAGGACCCCTCTCTGCCCCAGGCATGTCCCCTCTGTGGCTGTCCCCAACAACCCTGCACCACCCGGTCCCCTGTGCCACCCTGCTCCCTGCACAGGGACCCCCAGGGTCTCCGTCCCCACCGGTGCCCCGACATCCCCCAGCCCTGCCCATTGTCCCTGGCAGCCTCTCAGCCCACACCCCTGTGTTGCAGAGAGACCTGTGGAAGATGTCGAACCCGAGAAACGGCGACACCAAGCCCCCATGTTTGCCCCGCAATGGACTGGTGAAGATCCCCACGCAACCCAACGCCAGCATCACCAAAGGCACCCCCGCCGTGAAAAACCGCCTGTGCCAACCTTCCTCCGTGCCTGCCATCCTCAGCCCGGCCTTAGCCCACCGCAGTGACCTGCCCATCCCCAGCCTGGCCTCCCCGCTCTCCTTGGCCGCTCTGGCCGGCGTCTCCTCCCCTCCCGGCGCTTCCTTGGTGGGACTGAACACGAGCGAAGGCTCGGAGCAGCCCTCACCGGAGCGGCTGCCCGGCTCGCCCTCAGAAAGGCAGCTGGCGGTGGATGAGAAGATCCTCAACCGCTTGTTCTGGTACTTTTCGGCGTGCGAGAAGTGCGTGCTGGCACAGGTGTGCAAGGCGTGGAGGCGGGTGCTCTACCAGCCCAAGTTCTGGGTGGGCTTGACGCCTGTCCTGCACACCAAAGAGCTCTACAACATTCTGCCTGGCGGCGAGAAGGAGTTCGTCAGCCTGCAGGGCTTTGCCGTCCGCGGCTTCGAAGGCTTCTGCCTCGTGGGCGTCTCCGACCTGGACATTTGTGAGTTCATTGACAACTACCCCCTCTCCAAGAAGGGGGTCAAGTCCATGAGTCTTAAGAGGTCAACCATCACGGACGCGGGGTTGGAGGTAGGTGACTCCGGTGGGGTGGCCGGGGTGGAGTTGGCAATGGTGGGTTCTACCCCATGGCCCTGGGGACACACGTGTGGGAAGAGCTTTCACCAGCCACAGGCAAAGAGCAGGCAGGCGGCACGGCCATCCCACGGGTGCGGGCAGCGTCAGGAGCCCCTGCCTGTGGTCTGGGCAGTGGGAAGGGCTGAGCCTGCGCTGCCCTCCCAGGCAGGGGGCAAAGATGCTGTCGGGGGGTTCATCCCTGTTGCCTGTGGATGCTGCTGGGAAGGCAAAGCCGGGCGAGGTGGCCCTGCTGCTGGGTAGTGGATGCAGCATTGGGTGGTGAGCAGGGCTCAGGGGACGGCGATGTCCCCGCCTGGCTGGCTGCTCCCCAGCAAGGGGCGTCTCCTGAGCAGGGGGCTGCGGGGCAGAGGGAGATGGGGCGACTCATGGCTCTGCATGGGGGCAGGCAAGGTCCCCACTGAGGTCCCCTGCCCAGTGCCATGGCCAAACGGCACCATCTGCTCCTTGGCCACATCCTACTGGAGCAGCGCCCAGGGTGGGAGGGGGCATTAATCCTGGGCATAGGGCAGGGGCTGTGGCCAGGGGTCCCTACCTGTCCCCTCCCATCCCCACCGATGCCAGCATGTCCTAAAGCAGGGTGCTGCTCCGATGCCTGGGAGGCCCCAGGGAGAATGTTGGACCCACATAGGGCTGGGGGCAG